AAGAGGGAGGGGAGGGGGATGTCGCCGACATAGACCTAGAGGAAGAGGTCTAGGCCGGGACGTGAGGGCGTGTGACCTTGTGGCGGAGCGCCAGTGTGGCGCTCGGGTTGCAGGCATGCTGCCAGCGTCTTGGGAGGGTCGTGGGCGCCGCGCCCAGACCCTCGTTTTGGGGTGGGGGAGCCACTTCGGTAACACGCGTTTAGGGTGTGGGTGGCTGTTCGAGAAAGAATTCCGAAGCGGAAATCTTTGGGAGATCTCAGGAGATCTCGCGCACTCGAACAGGGCACTCACGTGCGGTTGCTCCTCTCTACCCACTCATGGCGTCTCCTGAGAGGACAGCGCCATGACTGTTGTGCATACACACGTTCGGAGCGGACACGACTAGAATAAATATTCTCCACCGCGTGAGCGCACGCGAACAAAGGACGGAATATTTATTCGGCCGGAGCTGGGCCGCATAAATTGGGAGACGGACTGTGAAGGACGTCAGCAAGTTAGACGTTTCACTCTCCAGGAATCGCGCGCACCGCGATGGTGCGCGCGTGTATCATGGCATCGCTCGCGCCCGCCCGCCCGCCACTGCTCGCGTTGGGAGCATGGGATGACGTGGTGAGGTGGGGCAGCAACGATTGCGCAGGGGAAAATCTCATGTGAACTTCCTTGCGAGACCATTGTAGTGACGGATGTACACGCCGTCCTCGCGGTCTCAGCTTGGTCGGATCCTTGAGTCGCGTCGGGAGGGTTCCTGCCCCTTCCTCGTCACAGCCAGGGACCATCACGGAACCTGGCCAGGGGAGCACCACCGTGCGGGAAGGGTGGCTGTTCGAGAAAGAATTCCGAAGCGGAAATCTTTGGGGGTGGCTGTTCGAGAAAGAATTCCGAAGCGGAAATCTTTGGGAGATCTCAGGAGATCTCGCGCACTCGAACAGGGCACTCACGTGCGGTTGCTCCTCTCTACCCACTCATGGCGTCTCCTGAGAGGACAGCGCCATGACTGTTGTGCATACACACGTTCGGAGCGGACACGACTAGAATAAATATTCCTTGATTTGCACCACCCGCCGATTTTGCCCGACAGTCCGAGCCGAGAAACATTGACGAGGCACCACATTAATGTCTCTCTTCGCCTCGCTCGGCGCCGCCACGCTCGAGTACAGCACGCGCGAGCGTCGCGCCGCGCTCCGCCGGCCGCTCAACCTCTGGGACTCGCACTCGCTGAGCGGCTCGAGCGAGGGCTGCCTCTCGCCACAGCATCGCGGCCAGTCCTCTTCCGACCGCGCATCGTCCGAAGACGGCGACGAGGTGCCGTCCAGCCCCGGAGAACCGCGCTCGTCGGTCGGCGACGTGCTCGGCCTCCTCGCGTCGCTGGAGCCGCTCCTCGCGCTGACGCACGCCCTCGCGCTGGAGCGCGGCACGACGACGGGGTGGGTCGCGAGCTGCGGCACGAAGCTGGCGCAGGCGGCGGCGACCCGTCGCGCCGTGACGGACGCCGCACTGGCGGCCGCGCCGGGCGACCACGCCAACCTCGCCGCTCTGCTCAGCCGCTGCCGCACCTCGGCGGACCGCGACGTCGCTGCGGCCAGCAAGGGTTCAACGAGCGCGGCCGAGGAGGGGGCGGCCTTTGTGGCGACGATGGGCGGGTACAACGCGCTGGCGTACCAGGCGCTGGCGGTGCTCTCCGAGCTCCCCGCGTGCGCCGCCGCCACCGCCGTCTCCGAGTTTGCGGCGCTCAAAGAGACGTTTGCGCAGATCCGCGGCTATGTGACGGGGGCGCTGCTGCTGCGCGACGCGGCGCTCGCGGCGGTGCACGGCCAAGTCAAGGGGAGCCTCGTCATAGCGTTTCACCGCCGCCGCGCGTACGCGCGCTCGATCCGCCACCAGACGCCGCGCCGGCTGCTGCGCCTGATCGGTGCGGGGCTCGAGCTGCCCGCGGGCTTGGCGCAGGTCACCCACGCGCGCTCCGGGCCTTGCACATTGAATGCCATGGGGGGCTCCTGTCTCTTAGACGTGGGGTCGCGAGGGGCTTGGAGGGCCGTTTTCGATTTGGTGCTAGCCCTGCTGACAATGGGGGTGTTCCTCGCCACGGCCCTCGCCCCGCCACCTCGTGTGTGTGGAGAAGTGCGCCTCACCCGGCCTGGCCCCGCGCAGGTCGTGCAGCGCCTCGAGGTGGAGTGCGACCTCGTGGCCCTGCGCGCCACCCTCAAGCCGCAGCAGTGGTGGGGTCTCGTCACCGCCCACATCGACAGCCTCGAGACAATGCAGCACCTGCTCCTGGGCGCGTGCGCGCGGACGGCGCAGCGACGCGCCGCCGCCGTCGCGCTCGGCGCCGGCGCGCCCGCCGCGCCGCTCTCCGCCGGCCCGCGCGCCGCCTCGCCGCGCCGCCGCCCCTCCCTCCGCCAGCTCAGCGACGACGAGCCGTCGGCCGGCTCGGTTGGCTCTGTCGGCTCGACGTGCTCGGCGGGTTCGGGCCCGGCGTCGCCGCCCCGCGGCGGCCACCTTCCCCGCGCAGCCGACTCGTACACGCGCCTCTTTGGAAGCCCGGGCTACACCGACCCGCCCGCGCTGCACCGGCGCCCGAGCGACCCGCTCTGCCGGCCGGCCGGCGGCAGGCCGGCAGGAGGCGCGTCGGCCGCGCCCGCGACGCTGCTCCAAGCCGCCGCGCTGCTGACGCTCGGCCGCGCGGCGGTGCGCCACGGCGCCGACGGCGCGAACGAGCTCGCCTCGCGCCTGTCGCAGCTCCCCGCCCGGAGGCTCAAGGAGTCACTCCTCGCGCTGGTCGACGAGCGGATGGCGCGCCACTCCGCCTCGCCCTCGCCCAACGCGTCGCCCGTGGTGACGCGGCTGCACGGCGCCGCCGGCGCCGAAAACACGCCGCCCGCCTCGCCGCCCGCCTCGCCGCGGAAGTCGCCTCCGAAGCCGGCGCTGCCCGAGGCGGCGCTGCTGCAGCCGCCCGACGGCGCGCGGCTGATCGGCCTCTCGGAGATCCTCTTTGCGCACCGGATCGGCGAGGGCGGCGCCGGCGCCACCTACCTGGCGCAGTGGAACGGCGCGACCGTCGCTGTCAAGGTTGCCGGCGGCGTCTGCAAGTGGCTCGAGTCGTGGCGTGCCGAGGTGGCTGCGCTGACCGAGCTGCGCCACCCGAACGTGGTCGAATTCCTCGGCTGCGTGGTGGAGCCGCCCACGCACTGCCTCGTGCTGCAGTTCTGCGAGGGCGGAGACCTGTACGAGGCGCTCCGCAGGCCGACGCCCCCGGGGCTCGCCCTCAAGGTGGGGCGCGGCGTCGCGGCGGGGATGCTCTACCTGTGCCCCCCAGCCGCAGCCGCGTCGGCCACTGCTGGGGACGCGCCCACGACCACGTCTCCGCGGTTGCGTCCTAGGCACAAGAAGAACTACATCCACCGCGACCTCAAGTCGTCGAACGTGCTGCTCGACGCCTCGGGCACCGCCAAGCTGATGGATTTTGGGCTCTCTCGCCAGCTCGATGTCGACGCGGAGGCGAGAGGCCGCGAGAGGCCGCGAGAGGCCGCGAGAGACCCTCGCCCCTCGCCCCTCGCACCGGAGGGGGCCTCCTCACCGCACCCCCCCTTTTTCTTTTCTTTTTGTGTTCTTTTTTTGTCCTTGGCCTTTTTTCCTCTTTTTGCCTTCCTTTCCTTTTGTGCTTTTCCTCCCTCGGCTTTTGTCCTCGCTTCTCTTTCCGTTCCCTTTCTGCTTCTGTTTTTTTTTGCCTTTTGCG